GGCAACAGTCTATTTCATTCTAAAAGCAATCTTCAGCCCTTATTTACATACATCCTATCCCTGATATTAAGCACTTTAACCCATAAGTATTGCATACGTTAAAACTATTTTATCATATATATATTCATATGTATATATATATATATATATATATATATATATATATATATATATATATATATATATATATATATATTTTATGTGTGAGGGTGCGTGTGTGTGAATATACATAAGATTAATATTAGTAAAAGTTTGTCACGTAGCTGATTGATATTGCCTTCAGTATTCCGACTCTAGAATTTCGTAGGTAGACCAGTGCGTTCACTCTTCAGAAGCCATCGGCAATTTACTCCTTATATTTTTTCCTTCTAAAATATATATTCACTTAAACCCTGTTACTATACATCGAGCACCGTTTCAGTTACTGTGTGCTATCACACACACACACGCACACACACACACGTGTATATATAAGAAACAGTTTGGACATATATTTTTGCGTTCACAGTATTTATATCTTTATACTCTCTCTCTTTCTCTCTCTCCCTCTCCCTCTCTCTCTCTCTCTCTATATATATATATATATATATATAAAAAAGAGGGGTGCCGCAAACGTTTTTAGTTTGAATGTGGTTGTGAGAAAAATAAACGTTTTTGTAAAAATTATGTAAAACAAAGTAAAATAATATTTTTCTCAATAAATCCACATTACAACCAAAAAACGTTTGCGGCACCCCCTCTTCTTTTTAATATACATACTTTTCTCTCGTTGGAACCACTACAACATATTTCTTTTTTATATATATATATATATATATATACTAAGAATACCATGAATCGAACATGTGAGGAACGACGAAATTCTAAAGAAAATGGCAACAAAAAGAACACTTCTGCTTAACATCAGGAAGGTGTAATTGAAATTTCTCGAGCCCATGATTGGTTGGTTGATTCTGTTTAGCGATACAACCTCCATGGGTTATCTAATGCCAAAATCTAAATATTTTGAACATAATTTTATGGCTTCAACTACATATGAAATGTGTTGCTTATCATTTTGCTATAAAAATATAAAACGTATTGTTGGTAATTCTGTTGTAAAATGTATTGCTGCTCATTTTGCTTTCAAAATGTATTGTTGGTCATTTTATTATAAATAGGCATTGTTAGTAATTTTATTATATTAAAATGTACTGCTGGCATTTTTACTATAAAAATGTATTTTTATATTTTCATATATTGAAGGTTCACTATTTGCCCATAGTTTGGACCCTAACAGGTGCTACCACCCCGAGTCAGGTGGTCCAGGGAAGAACAGCAATTAAGTGGTAGTTCCAAGATCCTCAAAACTGCCATTCTCCCGGTCAGAGGCCTTACTCACGAATGTGGCTTATCGCCATACAATACATAATCAGGAAAGAGCGCTTCGAAATTTTTTTACTCACAGGACAGATTGAATGTAAGAGAAAGAGAGGAAAGCAACTCACAACCTACCCAGCGAGTTTGAATGAATGGGTAGCGAGGCAGATTTTGGAAGGGATGTCAAAAAGACAAATATTATTAAGAACTACAAAGGATAGAAAATTGTGGCGAGCCATGATCGCCAACGCACTGAAGGGACACGGTACATTGACGAAGAAGTTGTTTCAAACATAAGCAGAAAGAAAACAATACAGATCTTAGATCAAGACCTTTGGCAAAAGGCATGAAAGCAACCAAATTACCTCTTTTCAGTAAACATCTCAATCATGTATGTCCGGCAAAGAAGTCTATGAAAACTGATTTCGCAAGACTAAATTTTAAATAATGAAAAGTAGAGCTATATTGGCCAGACCTGATCACTGAACGTGAGTTTGGGTCCTTCATATTTATAATCATCTAACACAATTTAGGAACTGCGGAAAGAGGAGACAGAGTAATTTTTAGGGTTCTTATAAACGGTAAAATTATAGCTTTCTTAATAGATTATCTTAATTTTATACAGATAAACGCAGATAATTTACGTTCTTAGAGAAACTGCTTCTTGGTTCAGGTTACAACCAAAAAGCTCTTTCATATTCTACAAAGCAGACGATTGCCCGGCTTGCTCAAAAATATTTCAAAGACACAAAATAAATGGAATGGTCCCAGCCTCTCTGTACATTGACACAACTTCTGATCCATCATTAAACGAGATGTCTATAGGAGTAGAAAACAGTAATGAAAATCTCCAGATAATGTTAAAATCAAAACAGTAGTATCATTAAACAAAATCAGTGGCTGCTGGTGTTGCAAATGTAAACAAAGAGAAAACGATGCCAAATATGAAGAACACTGTTTGAAGACATGAAAACAATCGAACTACCTCTTTTAAGTAAACATCAGAAAGGGAATTGTGTAGATTGATCAAAAAATACATTATAAGTGATTTTTTAACAATGCTTTTTTTTAATGATTAACGTAGAGCTACATTGGATGAACCTGATGGTTAGAATAGAGGTCGAATTCTTCATAAAAATAGTCAACCAACATGACTTAGAAGAGAACAGGGGATTATGGAGAAATGCATTGGATTAGTATTATAGAAAATAAAATTATGAGTCTCTTCAAAATTGACGATGGCATCAAAATAAATATAGAATATTATTTTGGGAGAAGAACCTTTATGATTGACACAGGTGAAAACAAAAATTTTTAAGATAAAGATTATAATAATATAAGAAAATACTACTTTGCATTCGGCAAAGCTGTCTATTTATTCTTCACTTAATATAAGGCCTAAGCGTCACTCAAGATAGAGGGTTACTGAATGATAATAGGTCGTATGGTGGAGAGAGAAAGAGTTGCATGTTATAAGGATATGAGGAGATCTTAATATTCTACATTGTTTTCTTTTTGTTTATATTTGTAATACCATCTTCTTTCAATATCTTTCTTGCTGGTGTTGGCTCTTAACTTGAACCAACATAGAAATCAATTTAGATTCTGAGTTTTTCTCTGTTAGTTCGTATACCGCATTATGCTACAATACGAACTATAGAATATATGAACGAATACAGAAAGAAATAAATTATGTGCCCTTAGTGGGCAATTTCAAATCCAACAGATGATAACGACTTCAATAAGGATTTATTGCTTAATTTGATTCTTAGCAGGAGCTTTTGGGTTATTTAAAGCCGAGACATTGGATTATAAGGATTATTTTATTTTCTATGATTGATTGTTACATTAACAATTTTTAAGTATAACAATAATTATCTAGATATGATTCTACTATTTGACCTATAGGTGGGGGTGGTTATTGACTCATACCTTTCCGATAGATATTTGCGTGCAAGTAAATTTAACGAACCCGACTGGAATACGAACTCGCTACTCCGATTTCTCATTCCGACCTGTTATTCATTACACCACCCGTACATCCCTAGTTGGACTGGTGGAACCAAGGAATGCCCACCTTGATCTAAATAGTTTAAAAGGTAGCAAATTATCAGAATGGTTCCTAACCTCCCCAGGTATTAATTTGTTTAAAAAAAAACTTGTGATCCATCATTAAAAGAGATCTAGACATGAATAGAAATCGTTTTTTTACAATGATGTTCATCGTGTATAAGGTCCGAGAGCCACTCGTGGTAGAGGTTACTGAGTAAGAGATATACCTTATGCAGATATGTGTGGAAGATAACGATTATTCCTATACTTGAACAAGTTAAGATTGTAGTGATAAGGGAATCGTTCTCTTGGGATCCGGTTCCATAAGACATTTTTCAAGCAACGAACTACTGGAAACAATAAAATGTATTGCAAGTAACGTTCTATTTTAATCAGAAGAAAAAGTAACACAATCAGCGGCCTAAACACTTATGGCGGTTCTAGAATATACAGTAATCAAATATGAAAATATAATAAAATAAGGAATAAGGAATTTCTTCTATTTGCCCCATCCATTCAAGGCGTGGCTGATCATGGCTCTCCACAATTTCCTCTGCTTCGTAACTTTTACCAAAACTTAGAATAAGACTTTAGTGAGGTGAAGTGAGAAAAGAACAATGAACGAACAGGGGTTCAAAAAGAAAGAAGATGGCCATTTTACGTTGCATTTAAATTATTGAAGATTGTAGTTATCAGGGAAGCAAGAACTCGGAAGGGAGTTCCACAAGTGTGTAATGAGAGAAAAGAAACTGTTAGAATAAAAGTGGCACGTCTGTCTCGTTACTTAAACTGTAAAACGGCGAGACCTAATTGCCAATCTAGTAACACGCTTAAATTTATGAAGCCGAAGCACAAGTGAAGAACACATCAGAAAAGTCTCCATTAAAGTATTTGTACAAAACACGGGGGGTGCAAATTGAGTCACATCGGTGACAAAGGAACGTAGCGACCTGCTAGATCGACCAACCCTACTGTATATATGATTCGAAAACATTGTGATCGGGAAAGCATTCATTTGGGTGCCGGGTCCACTGGGCATTTTTCAAGCAACGAATCATGAAAAGTACTGCAAGTAACTTTCAATTTGAAACAGGGGAAAACAAAAAAACAAAGTCAGGGTCCTGAGTACTAATGGTGGTTCTAGAATATCCAGGAGACTTTTTAATTAGTTTCACTCCATAGGACGTATATTAAATAGTTAATTAGTAGGACGTATATTAGTTAATGTCATTGTTATCTCCATAAAGTTCTTAAAATCTAAAAATATTTTCTTGATTTAATTTACCCTCAAAAACTTGATAGATTGTAAAAAAAAAACAACTTAATCAAAACAGTACCATCAATTTTCTTCTGTTTCTACGAGGTATAGACATTTTTTTACTGATTTATTATTTCACGGATTTTAGGCCATAAAATATTTTTATATTGTAAGAATTTATTGGAGATAGCTGGGGAGATAAGTTGTGCTTATAACTTTCCTAATGGTATTTATGAGAAAGTGGGTATAAAGAATCAGGCTGGACTTGGAAATTGGCTCTGCAATTTCGAATTCGGAACCTTTATCCATTACACCATACACACATCCATAGCTTACAACACCTGTTATCCCCAAACGGCCACCCATCCATTTACTGACCAGGCTTGACGTTGCTTAACTACGGTGATCGTACGAGAATCAGTGTTTCAACGTGATATGGTTGGAGGCCATACCACTCACACATCCAAAATTACAGAACCTGGTTTTCCCAAGAGGACACCCATCCAGGTACTGACCAGGCTCGACGTTGTTTGTTTTCAGTGATCGTACGCGAACCAATGTTTGAACGTGATATGGTCGTAAGCCATATCACCCACACATCCAATCTTACAGCACCTGGTTTTCCCAAGTGATCACCGATATTGGTACCGACCACGCTCGATGTTGCTTAACTTCGCTGATTATACGAGAATTGATGGTTTAATGTGATAAGGTCGTAAGCTTACAGCATTTGGTTTTTCCGAGCGATCTTAGTACCTACCAGGCTCGACGTTGCTTAACTTTGCTGATCGTACGAGAATTGATGGTTTAATGTGATATGGTCGTAAGCTAACAGCATTTGTTTTTTCCGAGCGATCTTGCTACTAGCCAGGCTCGCCGTTGCTTAACTTTGCTGATCGTACGAGAATAGATGTTTTAATGTGATATGTTCGTAAGCTAACAGCATTTGTTTTTTTTCCCGAGCGATCTTGGTACTAACCAGGCTCGTAATTGCTTAACTACATTAACCATACGGAAACCATTGTTTGAACGTGATAAGGCCGTAGACCTAGGTGTTGGCAACATAAAATACGATAAATGATAAACTCGTCAAAAATTAATAATGCTACTTGCTATTCAATTAAACCCTTTTTTTTTTTAATTTTTTCATAAAGTATTGACTAGTACTTCCCCCTATCTGCATCTCCCTTAGGTGGTAAATAGGAAGGACCTAAGAGTTAACAAAAGGATTATCCAGACTAGTATTATCCAGACTGCGATAACAACGTTCATAAAAGGCATTAGCCTTTCTTAATTACGCTATCTCTTTGCCAACTCTGCTCCCCGGATATGTGACAAAACTTGGCGATTACAATCAAGACGGGCTTTAGTATACCAAACACATACGGACATTACTCTCAAGTCCCAGTTTCAGTAACATGCTTGGTGCCTTTTGGACTTGAGTTAAAGACGTCAGCCAATACAGTCAACAAATCAATAATTTGTTTTTCTCCTCACATTATTCTGTTCTTATTTCTTTTTCGTCCTTTCTTCATTCTTTCTTTCTACATCATTTTTTTTTTTTTGTCTACTTCTTTTTGTATTCATTAGTGCAAAGCCAGACATTTGAGCCTACCTCTTGTAGAACAGATAAAGCAACTCGTTCAATAAACTCAAGCTCGGATCAAAGTCTGTTGTGACTTGCATACACAACTTACACACGACTTTTATCCAGAAATCTGTTATAAACTTTTCACAGTGTAGGCAACGCAAAACAAAAACTGTGAGATATCTACCTACTATCTCACGAGACTAATAGATGACACATGGTCAGTTTAATGTTGCGTACTCATATGCATACATAATTTGATTTTTACGGGTTATCAACCGTTTGCGAATTATTTAAAACAGAAACATATTTCGGTTTGTATGAGTTCGCTTACATTACTCGGTATTCTGAAGTGGTCCCCTACTAAATACTTACCTGGTGTAGGGATCCGTCCCTGTGCTGGTAGTATCACGGCTACGACTAGCTTTGACCGGCTCTGACCAGCTTGCACAAGCTATGACCAGCTAAGACCAGCTTGGACCAGCGGCCCGAGTAAAAACATTCGGGCCCCCACGTTAAAAACTGACCTTGTGTCACAACCTGACTCAGTGGGGGGTCAAGTAAATACACTAAGTACTGACCGGTCTAGACACAGCTTAACTTCGGTGATCGAACAAGTACCAATGTTTTCAGTTAAAGTTAACCGTAAGCAGGAAAGAACAAAAATTGTGCAACCCGTGTCATGCAAGCGTCAGACTACTCCAATTTTATATAATGAATGAGGTATCGCCACAGGGTTGGGATCCCCGGGACAAGATTCACCTTCTGCTACACCGTGGGCTGTTTGAAAAGGAATGTATACTACACTGAAGGAGACTACAAAAGCTACTACACAAGGTTGCAAAGGAAAGAAAGAAGAAAGGATTAAATATAAACTACAAGAAGACAGAATTCCTGATTTTCAGAAAAATGGTGAGCCCAATATACAAATTACATATCGGGAATACTAAAATCAAACAAGTCCTAAAATTTTAATATCTGGAAAATGTTCTAACAGAGGACGGAAAGTGCGACACTGAGATCCGAAGACGTATTGGGATGGCCAAAGATGCATACCAAAAGCTAAGCAGAGTATTAAGAAAACTTTTGTTGGAAACAAAGAAAAAAGTACTGAGCTGTTACGTGATATTTGTCCTTCTATATGGCAGTAAATGCTGGACAAAATCCTCAATCCTGAAGAAGAGACTTGAGCAATAGAAATGTGGTTCTACAGAAAGATGCTGGGTATACCATGGACCGAATATGTGAGCAACGACGAGGTTTTAGAAAAAATAGCAACAAAAAGGAAACTTATATTTAACATCAGGAAGACGTAGTTAAAATTTCTGGGGCACGTATGAAGGAAGAAAGGCTTAGAAAATCTGATACTCACAGGATAGATTGAGGGAAAAGAGGCAGAGGAAATCCGAGCGTAACATATTTGATGGGCTTGAGCAAATGGATGGTAGAACAAATTTTAGGAGAAATAACAGACAAAATTTATTAAGGGCTACAAAGGACAAGAAGATGTGGAGGGCCATGATAGCCTACGACCTGAAGGGACACTGCATATAAAAGATGTTACTTACTGTTGTGTATGATACACCTAATTTACATAAGCGGACTACCGACCATATAAATATGGGTTGGTACCGGAAGACGGGGAAGATAGTAGAGATTAAGAAATTGAATCCAGAGACTCTGCCCGACTGCGATTTAGTCAACCCATTATGCAGGAACAGTCTTCCCAAGAATATACCAAACTAACTGTAAATATTGTGTACCTATTCTTTGTTTCAATACATTTTGTTAACGTACATTTTGTGTTGTATTATTCCATGCTTATTTAAGCTTCAACACTTACCTACCCAAACACGGTTCGATAAAAGGTTGTTTCAAGTATGGGATTCCGTACAAAGAAGACAGCATACAAGTTCGTGTTGAGTAGCGACTATCGCCACCCAAAGTGGTATAGGAGAAACCTTCTCTTATTCTGCTCGCTATGGGTTAAATAACATGACAAATCAGGGTCTTTAGTCTTGATTGGTAATAGTATCTAGGAGGAGGGATACTCTGATTTACAAACCAGTTTCATAGATATACATAAATGACTGATTTGCTTTTTATGGTTTATCAACCCTTTGCGGATTATTTATTAGGTTGGTGCAAAAATAATGACGTAATAATGTCGTTTTTGACGTATTTTTTAACGTCAAAAAACGACATTATTACGTCATTATTTTTGCACCAACCTAATAAAACGGTAACCTATTTCGCTTTGTATGATTTCGCTTACATTACACAGTGTTCCCGAGAGGTCGTCAAGCTATCTTGCCCTCGACTCATCTACATGTGGCGCCCCAACAACCATAAATGGTTCTGTTCACCATGATCATGCGATCACTGTCGTTCTGACATGCGTATTACCCAACTTTTCCTCTTTCGGTCAGTGAAGAAGGTGCAGCCGCAGGGTTGAAAGCTCCGAGGCAAGAATTCTCTCCAAGTTTCAAGAGGACAACAACCGATACAGTCCGGTAAGTTATAAAAATATATCTTTCTTGGCTTCTTCTTCAGGACATAAGTGATCATAGCTCTCCATAACTCCCCATCTTTTGTAACCTTTAATAACCATTGTCTCTTTACCAAAACAACCACCCAACCCGTATTCCACCATTTCTTCATACAAGTTCATCAGATGGGTGGCCAGATTCCTTCCTCTGTTCCATTTTTATTAAGCGTTTCACCCCAAGCAAGGCGGGAAGCCACTAGAACGCAAGGGGTTACAGAGAGTTGGAGCGAGAGCAAAGAGGAGTGATAGAGGGAAGGATGAAGAGAAGAATAGGGCATTGATCAAGGCATCTGGAGACGTCGATTGACATTACATTTGAATAGTTGGAGATTATAGCTATCAGGGAAACAGGAAGAAGTGAGGGAGTTCCACAGGCGAGGGGTGCGAGACATAAAGCTATTGGAGTAGAAGAGACGGCTACATTTAACAGTTTCGACAGTGAAAGGGTGAGAGCGAGATGCCAGCCTAGTTGAACGCTTAAATTCATGAAGTCTGGGAACCAGCGAAAGCAGCTCATCGGAGCAGTTACCATGAAAGTATTTGTAAAAAAGACAGAGGGAGGCGGCGGCACGTCTGTGGGAGAGCGACTGCAGACAAGGTGCGAGATCAGGGCCAATTACATTGCATATCCGTCTCTGGATTTTATCAAGGACCTTGAGACAAACAGAAGGGGCTCCAGACCATATATGGCAGCAATACTCCATACTTTTGATAAATCCTGTGAGTGTCAAATTTTCAGAGCCCGCCCCCGCTTTCTTATTATGTATCCTTAAAATTTCAGCTATTTCTTTCTGATCATGAAAATGTGTCCTTTTTGGTTTTATTTTCCTTAAGACTTCATCGTTGCTTACGCGTTCTCTCCCTAGAATTCTCAGTATCCTTCTGTAGAACCACATTTCTGTTGCCTCCACTCTTCTCTTTATCAGCTAGAAAATTTATTCAGTATTCACTATCATATAGGAGGATTGATATTACATAGCAGTTTCGATTTGTTTTTCTTTGTTTCTAAAGAGATTTTCCTGTTTCTTAATACTTTGCATAGCTTTTGGAAGGCATCTTTCGCCAATCCGATTCCCTTTCAGATTTCGGTGACGCATTTTTCATCCTCTTCCCAGATATTTGAAACTTTTGTACTTTATTCATTTTGTTATCTTTAATTTGGTGTGCGTGCGTGGTGGTTGTGGTGGTGGGGTGGGGTACGGCCATGTCAATTTCAAAACATCGGTTCTCATACAATTACAGACGTTAAGCAACGGCGAGCTTGGTCAGTATCTAGATGGGTAACCGCTTGAGAATACCCGGTGCTGCAAGATATTAGTATGCAGGTGGTATAATGGATAACGATTCAGAATTTGAAATTGAAGAACCGAGTTTCAATTCCAGTCGGATTCGTTATGTTCATTTACGCGCAAACGCGCTTAAGAAAAGTATGGATCGACTTCTTTCGCCAAACTATTGGGGAGGGGGTGTTAAAGAATGGCTTAATTTTAACATCTCCAAAACGAATCTGCTCTCTATCAATCACTTGAGAGTCTGGCTTCCTTCAGCATGGCTGATGCTAATATCCAGAAGAGAGACTCATTGCACATTTGACAGGAAGTGAAAATATTATATTGAATCAATTGCTATGTATGCTGATAGGAATATTAGTTCACTTTTCATGATAGACAATTTTTATTTGTCTATTAATCACCCTAGAGACCCATTTCTAGATTCGATTAACATGGCTGATGCTAACCTCTAGTAGTGTGACTCTATCGCCTTCTTGAGCTAACTTTCTCGGCTGCCACACAAGGTCCGTTGCTCCTACTGTATATTTAGAGATTCTTGATAAAATCCAAAGAAGAATCTGCAATATCATTAGTCTTGATCTGGCATCTCGTCTTCAGTACCTTTCCCACCGCTATAACATAGCTTCCCTCTAACTTTTCTATAAATACTTTCATGATAATTGTTCGGATGAACATCCTTCTATGTTGCATAGACTTTATGAATTTCAACACAGCACCTGATTGGCGGCATGCTCTCATCATTCTACAGTTGAAACGGCTGCATCTTATCGCAAGTTCTATGCTAACATTTTCTTCTCTCGCACTTTTTCGCTTGTGGAACTGTCTCCCGGTTCTTGCTTCCTGGTTAACTTTGATCTTAAAAAAGTTTAAATGCAATGACAATCGTTATCTTTTGTCATCTTAATTATTTTTCTTTTATTGTTCTCTCTCCTTAATAGTATTTTCGCATATTTTTTTACAATCAGTAACGCATTGTGTCTTAGTGGCTTTATTTCCTTGCTTGTGGCGAAATGATTTACAAATACAGAAATTTAATTCAATGATGGACTTGGCTAGAGTAGAATATTGATCATGCACCCTATAATGCAAATTATATCGAGTGTCTCATGCAATCTATGCACACAATATTATTTTCATTTGTTCGTTTCATCGGTCTAGGACGGTGCTAATTTTGCATGCAATACTTAACATATTTAAAATACTCTTTTAGTTGCAAGTTGGAACTCCCTTGATCTTACTTGCAACCTCCTCAGAGGTTAATTCTTTGTTGCGAAATTGATGAAATTATATATTAATATGATTAGAGTATAAGCCAGATCCATGGCTAGTGTCATTTGTCATAGTCATTACACAATTGATCACGAGATAACCGGAAATTGTCGCTTCAGTGCCCACAATCAGCCTGAGGCTAAGGCCAGTTATATTCAATGCAGCTTGAATCACTTCCGGGTTCCATGCAGCAGATTAATTTTTAACAAAATAAAAAAAAAATGAGAATTACGTCAAGCGATATCAGCACACGATGACATTGAATCGGCTGTACGACAGCATTTGCAAACTGACCAAATCAAAAAAAAAGTAAACTTCCGTTAAGCAGTCATACGTCTGTTGGAACTTTGAAAATGCACGAAAATAAATGAAACACATTTTCAAGTTACCAATTTCATCAAATCAAAAAACAGACAAGGTAAAAGCTAAGTGGCACCAGATGTGGACGTAACAGTAAGCACAGCAATTTGTCCGCTCCAAACAATTCGGAACACAACCAAAAAAATAAATAAATGTTGGCTTTCATTTGAAGCCTATCTCCGACCTATATAAAAACGCACTCAGGAACTTAAAAACGAGATGATGATGTCAAGGACATCACTCGTTGTTTCATTGGAATTTTTTTTTCACTCATTTGACTGCTGTTGCAATATAACCTTCCTTTTAATCTAAAAGGAGTTAGCCGTAAGCGTCTTCACCGTCAAACAAGGCCAGCAAAAATCAGCGGCAGCTAGCAAAAAAACAAGTCTTGAAGAATGCTGATAAATTTCAGTTTTAAGAATTCTGAACGTATAAATATTTTACTTAATGGCAGGGATACCATATTTAAGCAAACTGAAATTTGAACGGAAAATATGACAGGGATATATGAAGGCGCACTAGAATAATGAAAGATGCCTTCCAAAAGCTAAACAAAGTATTAAGAAACAGAAAAAATTCATTAGAAACAAAAGAGAAACGAGAGCTGAAATGCTATGTAATATCAATCCTGTGATATGGCAGTGAATGATGGACAATTTCCTCACACATGAAGAAGAGATTTGAGGCAACAGAAACAAAGAAAAAAGTACTGTACTACTATGTAATTTTGATCACCATATATGGCAATGAAAAAAGGACAATTTTCTCACGGACGAAGAGGAGACTTAAGGCAACAGAAACAAAAAAAGTGTGCTGAACTGCTATGTAATATCAATCCTCCTATATCGCAGTGAATGCTGGACAATTTCCTCACAGATGAAAATGAGTCCTGTGGCAACAGAAACAAAGAAAAGAGTGCTGAACTGCCATGTAATATCAATCCTCCTATATGGCAGTGAATGCTGGACAATTTCCTCACAGATGAAAAATGAGACTTGTGGCAACAGAAACAAAGAAAAAGAGTGCTGAACTGCTATGTAATATCAATCCTTTATATGGCAGTGAATGCTGGACAATTTCCTCACAGATGAAAATGAGACTTGAGGCAACAGAAACAAAAAAAGAGTGCTGAACTGCCATGTAATATCAATCCTCCTATATGGCAGTGAATGCTGGACAATTCCTCACAGATGAAAATGAGACTTGAGGCAACAGAAAAAAAGAAAAGAGTGCTGAACTGCTATGTAATATCAATCCTCCTATATGGCAGTGAATGCTGGACAATTTCCTCACAGATGAAGATGAGACTTGAGGCAACAGAAACAAAGAAAAGAGTGCTGAACTGTTATGTAATATCAATCCTCCTATATGGCAGTGAATGCTGGACAATTTCCTCACAGATGAAAATGAGACTTGAGGCAACAGAAACAAAGAAAAAGAGTGCTGAACTGCTATGTAATATCAATCCTCCTATATGGCAGTGAATGCTGGACAATTTCCTCACAGATGAAAATGAGTCTTGTGGCAACAGAAACAAAGAAAAGAGTGCTGAACTGTTATATAATATCAATCCTCTAATATGGCAGTGAATGCTGGACAATTCCTCACAGATGAAAAATGAGACTTGTGGCAACAGAAACAAAGAAAAAGGTGCTGAACTGTTATGTAATATCAATCCTCCTATATGGCAGTGAATGCTGGACAATTTTCCTCACAGATGAAAATGAGTCTTGAGGCAACAGAAACAAAGAAAAAGTGCTGAACTGCCATGTAATATCAATCCTCCAATATGGCAGTGAATGCTGGACAATTTCCTCACAGATGAAAATGAAACTTGTGGCAACAGAAACAAAGAAAAGAGTGCTGAACCGCTATGTAATATCAATCCTCCTATATGGCAGTGAATGCTGGACAATTTCCTCACAGATGAAAATGAGTCTTGTGGCAACAGAAACAAAGAAAAGAGTGCTGAACTGCCATGTAATATCAATCCTCTAATATGGCAGTGAATGCTGGACAATTTCCTCACAGATGAAAATGAGTCTTGTGGCAACAGAAACAAAGAAAAGAGTGCTGAACTGCTATGTAATATCAATCCTCCTATATGGCAGTGAATGCTGGACAATTTCCTCACAGATGAAAATGAGTCTTGTGGCAACAGAAACAAAGAAAAGAGTGCTGAACCGCAATGTAATATCAATCCTCCTATATGGCAGTGAATGCTGGACAATTTCCTCACAGATGAAAATGAGACTTGTGGCAACAGAAACAAAGAAAAGAGTGCTGAACTGCTATGTAATATCAATCCTCCTATATGGCAGTGAATGCTGGACAATTTCCTCACAGATGAAAAATGAGTCTTGAGGCAACAGAAACAAAGAAAAGAGTGCTGAACTGCAATGTAATATCAATCCTCCTATATGGCAGTGAATGCTGGACAATTTCCTCACAGATGAAAATGAGTCTTGAGGCAACAGAAACAAAAGAAAAGTGTGCTGAACTGCTATGTAATATCAATCCTCCTATATGGCAGTGAATGCTTTGGACAATTTCCTCACAGATGAAAAATGAGTCTTGAGGCAACAGAAACAAAGAAAAGAGTGCTGAACTGTTATGTAATATCAATCCTCCAATATGGCAGTGAATGCTGGACAATTTCCTCACAGATGAAAATGAAACTTGTGGCAACAGAAACAAAGAAAAAGAGTGCTGAACCGCTATGTAATATCAATCCTCCTATATGGCAGTGAATGCTGGACAATTTCCTCACAGATGAAAAATGAGTCTTGAGGCAACAGAAACAAAGAAAAGAGTGCTGAACTGCTATGTAATATCAATCCTCCTATATGGCAGTGAATGCTGGACAATTTCCTCACAGATGAAAATGAGTCTTGTGTCAACAGAAACAAAGGAAAGAGTGCTGAACTGCTATGTAATATCAATCCTCCTATATGGCAGTGAATGCTGGACAATTTCTTCACAGATGAAAATGAAACTTGTGGCAACAGAAACAAAGAAAAGAGTGCTGAACCGCTATGTAATATCAATCCTCCTATATGGCAGTGAATGCTGGACAATTTCCTCACAGATGAAAATGAGTCTTGTGGCAACAGAAACAAAGAAAAGAGTGCTGAACTGCTATGTAATATCAATCCTCCTATATGGCAGTGAATGCTGGACAATTTCCTCACAGATGAAAATGAGTCTTGAGGCAACAGAAACAAAGGAAAGAGTGCTGAACTGCTATGTAATATCAATCCTCCTATATGGCAGTGAATGCTGGACAATTTCCTCACAGATGAAAAATGAGACTTGTGGCAACAGAAACAAAAGAAAAGAGTGCTGAACTGCTATGTAATATCAATCCTCCTATATGGCAGTGAATGATG